GGACCAGGTGGCATTCCCCAAAAACTGATGCAAGATGCAAAATGAAGGAAAAGTGCTGAAAACAATGAGGTGAAATGCTTAAAGTCTGGCAAAGCCGACAGAGAAGTGGAGGAAAATGAAGGTAGTGGACAGGCAGGAGGAACGAGAGCTGAAGCCGTAAATCAGAGCATAACTGCAACATCCTCAGGTCTCCGGAAAACATCGTCAGACTTCTATCAACAACTTCAGACATGAGACCGTAGCCAGAAAAGCATCACGTTTCACTGAAACCCCGTCACACTTCTGACTTAACGGCATCAGGCTAAAAAGTCTCAGCATCAGATCACACAGTCTCAGATAAAAGTGCCTCAGAGAGAAGCTTCCTGCCAGCCGGATTGTTTTCCAAATACGTCATCAACATGCGACAGTGGCAGAACACGGCTACGTCCAAATTCAAGGCCGATTACGTCACAGCTAAGCGATGAAGGCTGTCCAAATTCCTCCAAATGCAGTCTACAAATGCGTGCTCCTGTTCCCTGGATTTGAAGGACGGGTCGGGTGTATCCCTCGTGGCCCGCCCTATCCCAGGATTCATTGCAAATCTAAGGTTGAAGAAATTTCTGGGAAAAAATGGTGGACGGTTAAAGCAAAACTTTTAAAAGTAAGTACTGAGTAGAGAGATGAGCTGGAGGTAAAACAGATTTGAATGTTTTGAAAGTCAGGCACTGAGGCGTTTATTTAGTTCCTGTGTGTAGGATCGGGGAGCTGTGACTGTACAAATGTTAAACTGTCTCTTTGGTTATGTTTGTAGATGAAAAATGAAACCAATAAAGTTTGCTGAAGGTCTCCTCTCCTCTGTCATCTGAGCATCTCAGAGGAGCAGCTCTGGTCATTAGACTCTAACGCTGAGTCAGACTTGGCTGTGAAAACAAGCTGCCAAGGTCAACTTATTTCTGGGCTGTTGGTGTGATGGGAGGATGAAGCCTATTAGCTAGTTTGTAATGATGATACAGAGAGAACCAGAATGGGGGAAAGGGGCTGCTCACCGAGCTTCTTTCTTTCCCTGGAGGGAACACGTTCGCCTCGCTCAGACATCACACAGAGCCAAAAACGTCCTGTCTGCTAAACATCAACATCCTCACAGACTCAGCTCTACGTTTATTTCCCCCAAACACTCATAAACGTGGCCTTTATCAGCCTCCTTATTGACATTACTGATCCTTCATGTTGGCACTGAGATCTCTGCACGAATGCATAATTGATGGGTATTCGTCAGGCGGTGGTGTGGGGGGGTCATGTAATATTTACAGCAGCACACTGTGGCGTGGTGCTGTAAAGGTCCTGGGTTTGAATCCAGCCTGAAGACTTTCTCTGTGGACTTTGCTCTGCCTGTCACGGTGTGTCTGGCTACTCCCACCTCCAACAGTCCAAAGCCAAGCGTGGGGTTCGGTTAATTAACTCACTGCTGAGTTAGGCACCCCATAATGCCCCGTAACTCTCTAGATCCACAAAGACGCCGTAAAACACTCGAAACAAACATCTGTCGTCTCAGCACGAAGCCAAACTGCTGCTCGCTGATCTTCACCTGGTAATAGGGCTGGGCTATATCATACCGTTCACGGTAATACCGGTGTAATTTTGGGTAACGATAGGAAAATGAAATATCGCAATAGAATATGAGTAAAGTGCGCATGTGTAGTGCATTTGTTTATATACGCACATGGCGGCGATGCAGAATGAGAAGAGCGAAAGCGGGTCGTTGAGTGAAACAGATGAACCAGAACTTGTAAAAATGCTGCAGCTTCACTGGTGTGGAACTGGTTTAGCTTTTGTCCCTCAGATACACAACAAAGCACTATTTTTGGTAGAGTATGCTAGCGGGCCGTCGTTATTACCGTATTGTTTGGAAAATACGGCGCACTTAAAATCAATCCTTTGATTTTCTGAAAGTCGACAGAGCCCCTTATAATCCCGTGTGCCTTATGTATGAACTCTGGTTGTGTTTACTGACCTCGAAACGATTTTATGTGCACGGCGCTCGAAAATCTGTCAAATGTTTCAGTACGACTTTGCTGAGCTACGAAGCCGCACCGCTTGATGGATTGTCGGAGCGTTACGGCTATCGTAGGCGGAGCCTCGCGAAGTGATGCGTACTGTGCTTCAACATAATGTTACCGTATTGTGTGTGTGTATAACCTCTTTTTAAGTTTTGTGGATGTTATACATGGTTATGCTGAGGATATGTCGGCCAGTTTCCACTGGAAATGCCTGCTTCACGCCCTGGAGGACGGGGCTGTGGCCCCCCCACACCCTCTAGCAGATTATTACATGAAGGAACCTTTTAAAAAAACAAGCGCGTCCATGCTCACAGGTGTACACACGGGTGATCACACCCACAAACTACACCCTTTTTGGCTCCTACCTCAAAGCACACTGTGTTCTGTTGATCTTATGTGCTGCACAATAATGTTTAATATTTAGTATTTACTGTCATATTCCCATATATCATTGTGATGTTGTTTATTCTATTACTCTTGTTCTCTTCTGCTTGCTTTCTTTTTTCTTTCTCAGCAGGTGATCCAGGTGATTGATATATGCATTTTTTTTCTCTGCCCGTTCTGTTGGTTTTTGTCTTTTGCCCTTCTCCCCCGTCCCTCTTCTCAGCTGTTTCTCTTTCCCTCTTTCTTTCTCCCCGTCAAGTCTGTCCCGTATTCAGTAAGTGAAAATAAAATAAACAATAAAAGGTGAATCAAATGGACCATTACGGCAAGGCTGGGATGGTCAGTTTGGTAAAGTAAATCCGTTGGGTATCTTTCTTTGCCTTTAGACAACAATTCTGATGCAAAAGAGCCAAACGGGACAGGCGCAAATTAAAAAAAAAAAAAGGAAATGCCTTTTGGTTAAACTGTCAGCGAGGAATTTGCACTGTTACATTTTTATATAACTTTAATGCACATAAAAAACAGCTGCTTGTTTAAGTGGAAATACATTGATGGGTTTTTTTGCACTAATAAAGTTGTGGAGTTGTAAAGTATTTTGTCTGGTGTCAATTATATCGTCAGTTATATCGTTATCGCTAATTTTTAAATGTATATCGTGATAAATATTTTTGCTCTACCTGGTAACTCTTCCCTCCCACCCAGAGTCTGTCTCAAGTCCTTCCTGAACTCTTCACAGCATCCCTCTGTCTTCAGCTTCCACCACATTAATCCTCGGCTCCTCGCTTCCTCTCCTTGGTGTCTAAAGTCATCCTACAGTCTACCATCCAATGCCGAACACCCGCCTTCTCCCCGACACCTTGCAGTCTCTTAGCTCTTATACGTAGATTGTTTCTTCTACCTAAGATGCCTTCCACCTGTGTGCACCTTCCTCCGCTCTATCTTCCTCCCTCTTCATCCAACCTAATCCAGAACTCTTCTCACTGTTCTGACTCACACACAGCTTGTGGGTCATTATTAACATTCAACATCGGTCCTGCGATTCCCAGCTTCAGCCTCATGATCCTGGGAGACCGTTCACGTACTCTTCCATTAAAGCCGATTAAAAACTTCCTCTGGCCTCAGACACACAACAGAAACTAAATGTTAACATCATCAAATTGTTATTTATTATTTAGTTATGTGTTTTCAAACAAAAGGAAGCTGTATTACTGAATGTGTGTTAGCTTTTGGTTTATTTAAAGGTTTTTAGCCCGGATCGCTGTGACTCACACGTGCAATCATCAGTGATTCACTCATCAACAGATTCAAAAGATCAAATTCCCAAAATACGCAGTGAAACTTTTTCATATGTCAGCCTGTATTCAGAACTTTTTATAGCACTGAGTAGGCCCAGAACAAAAAAACAGCGAATACTCGGAAAAATAAATGAATATTCTCATGACATTTTCTATTTACGGCTTTAAAAAGCAACTATTGGTTGAACAAGTTTAATTTGGATTTTCTCTGATCCACACTGGATCAAAAGTATATAAGTCTAATATATACATACACCTACAGCAATGTTTGGTTAAGGTTAATATTGGCCAGGTTATCTCTCCCTAACCAGAGAGTGAGATCATCGTCCTGCTGGAAAACTCAACTGTGTCCAAGTTTCAGCTAACGGTTAACTTGAGATGACGTTGAAGAATTTGGGCCAGGCTAAAACATTAAAGCCCCACCTGACAACATCAATGAAGAAAATCACAGGAATTCAAATTTAAATAAAGTTTAAATATCATTTCCTCTTACTTGTTGGGTGATAACAGCCTCCGTGCTCACTCGGTGTGATCAACACACTGATTTCTAACCAAAACACGGCCACAGTGTATTTATTACAGTCCTATAACTTATTTATTACTGTCTCACTTCAAAGCATCATTAACTTAACAATTCTTCCCCACTCATGTCACCAGAGGGGCTCCACAGAAAGCAATTCAGTAACATATGAATGTCATTATTGGGACACAGGGTCACTTTTTCAGGGTCACATAGAGCTGAGGTCGTCTCCTTCAGGTTAGCATCCTAGCGTAGCGTAGTTACAGACTTTTTGTCTCTGTAAGCGTCTCCTTGCATCTGTTTCCTCTTTGCTCATTTGAAGGATAATTGCTGCTCCTGCTGTGCTGCTGACATTCAGCTTTACCTGCTGCTGATAATCAGGGTGTTTCTCCTGTGATGGCGTCGTGTCACAATGTCAAGAAACCAAACATGGGACTGAAAACTCTGGCTTTTGTCCACAAATCAATATTGAAGTTATAAAAGAATAAAATGGCAATGATTGCTGATTGGTAGGATATTTATTTATTGTAAGAGACTATTAATGTTAAATTAAAAAATAATGATTATTATAGTGAAAAACAAACTGTTGTGGAAAATGTTTCTATGCAGTTTGACTTGACCGAACAGCAACAAGCTTTACAGCACAAATATGAAAAGACTAATCATCACAGAGCCGGTGCTGCGAAACATCAAACGAGTAAAGAGTCTCACCCACACTTTTTGGAAATCTGCACCTCTGCGCTCGACTGTTCAGCTGCCACCTACCTGAGGGTCTTTCCCTCTCTCAGGTCGTACAGGGAGAAGAATATGTCCGTGTCCTCGCCTATGCTGTTGTAGGTGAAGCTCTTCAGATTGACCAGCAGGTGATGAGGTACTGGAACTCTACAAGGTTCCCCATGTCTCTGCCGGGTGTTGTCGCCCTAAAACACACAAAAAAAGCAGCCAAACAAACAAAATATATAAATACACATATTAGAATACAAAGACACTGTGTGACAGTCTTAGTAAACATATACACCAAAGCCTCCTGGCTGAACAGAAACATCTGTAAACTATGAAATCTTCTTAAAATATACAGTTTTTATTTAACTTTAACTTGATGTGTAAGTACATAAAAAGGTTTTTACACATATTACTGCTCAAAAACATGCATTCAATTTCTGGTTCTTTAGCATCAAAGTGATGCTGCTGCAGTTTAAATCTGCACACCGTCTCAGCGTGATGCCTAAGAGTCACACTCACACTCTGTGATGAAAGTATCAGCATTAGTAGGATAGAGTGCTGCAGAGCACAGCTGTGGGTCTAAGCTTGTAAATACTGTAGAACATAACTCTTTAAATGCTTTGAATTCATATCTCCATTTATTTTAATGATAAAAGGCACGAGAAAAGTTTCTTGGTGACATGAATGATATGGAAATCTTTTCAAGGATTCTCTTGGTGACCCAGTTCAGGCTCTTTACTCTGTAAAATGTACTACTACTACTACTACTACTACTACTACTACTACTACTACTACTACTACTACTACTACTACTTTGTAGCAGTTTTTTCTGCTGGAAGTATCTTAATTGTGTCCCATAAATCTGTTTGGGCCTCTGAAATGAGAAGTAAATGAGACACGTTACTGCAGTACGTCCACGTACCTGTGTGGTGCTCTGCTGTACGCTGTGTCTGCTAGAAAGATGCTGCGAAAGAGAGACACACAAACTATTAGCTGAGGGGTCGATCATCTCTCTCCTCTTATTGTTTCCTTTTCCCCTCCTTGGTTCATCATCATTCGCCGTTTCCTCTCCTCCTTTCCTCGCCTCCTTTTGCTTCCTATTTTCACTTCGCCTTTTCAGGTCTCTAGTCTCCTTTACTATCCTATGTCCTTGCTTCATTTCTCATTTATTGTTTCCTCTTCTTCACTGTCTGCCCCAGTGACTGTCATTGGTCGGCCCTCCTTTTTTCATTTCCTTCAACACTCAGTCCTTGCTTCTTCTCCTTTAGCATCTCCTTCTTTCCTATTTTCTCTTTGTTTCCTTTCATTTATTAACCTCTTATCATTTTGTTTCCTTCTTTTATCTCCTTGTCAGTTTACTCCTTTTTTCACCATTTCCTTGCTTCCTTTCCTTCTCTATCGGCTTGTTTTTCTCCTTCATTGTCTAATCTCCTTTGTTATTTTTTCTATTCTCTTCTTGTTTCCTTTTCTATCCTATCTTGCTCTCATCCACTCTCATTTATCTGTCCTCTCCTTACTGTATATCCCTTCCTTCACTATACTCTGTCCTTGTTTCCTCTCCTTTTCTGTATTCATCTGCTTTCTTGTCTGATTTCATTTTCTCTTCTCGTTTCCTCTTCTCATCTCCTTCTTGTGTTGTCTCCTCGTCTCCTCTCCTCTCTTATCTACTTTATCGTGGTCCATTCCCTTCCCCTCATTGTCAGAAGATAAAAATGCCCCAGAGACTCATTACTCCGAGTTGTCTCCCTAAATCTCTCGAGTGTCTGTGTGAGACGAGAAGCAGCAGGAAGTAAAAACCTGTTTGATGAATCCGGGTAATGACTGTCAGCTGAAAGCTATCTGCAAATATTACAACCTGAGGAGGGAATTAAACGATGGCAGCCGTATCTCCTCATCTTCTTTATATTGAATTTTTAAAACCTGCTATTAAAAAGGTTGGGACAGTCGATTAAAATAAGGTCATGCAATAATTTAAACAAATAGTTTCTCAGCGCTACTCGAGCACACAAAGCTCTTTACACAACACGTGTCAGTCACACACATCTAGGGGTGTGTGTGCGACTCGGAGTTCTCCTTCTTCAAGGATACGTTGGTGTGCAGACTGGGAGAGCCAGGAATTGCACCAGCAAACTGCAAGTTACTAGCTGCCCTGCTTTACCTCAATCCTCACTGGATTGACTTTAGATTGTACAAAGACAAAATATCAAAGTTAAACTCAGCTTTGTTGCTTTTTGGATAAAGACAGCAACATATTGCAGACTCGCTGGGACGGGGCAGGATTTCCTCTTGAGGCACTGAGACTGGTCACTGTGATTCTGAACGCTGAACATTTTTCCTCTCTTCTGTGATAAACGCTTTTATAGCTGCTTTTCTGTCATGTTTCCAGGCTCATAATGAGCCAAATGTTTTCAGTGGGTGACATTTCTGGATTGCAGACGCGCCTACAGAGACGCTGTCTTGCTTTAAATAATCAGGTCAGTGTGTGCAGAAGCTCAGGCCTCAGACTAAAAGTGAGCGCGGCCTCAGAGGGTGAGGAGCTGAAACTTCAGGATGAACCGAGGTGATGCATCAACGCTCGGTATAAGACGAGTAATGATTTATTTTCAGCTGTGAATGATGCAAAGCTCCACCAGCAGTCCAAGAATATAAACACAGAGCAGCTACCAACTAATTCGAACTGCTAAACCTTCACACACACACAGACTGACAGAGCCAATCGTGTTATTACTGTTAGATGTTTCCTGTGTGTGTTTTAAGCATTATGCAATTTCTCCACATTTCTTTAAACATGCGAATATATTTCAACACTTATCTCTTTAAATTTCAACATTTTAATATGTTGTCATAGCAGGATTTCAAAGTCTGCTTTTAACCTGCATATCAGAGCTGCAAGTTAACTCTCAAATAATCCATCCGTCCATTTTCTTCCACTTTATCCAGTTCAGGGTGGAGGGGGAGCCTATTTGAGCTGATCTGAGCTTGATGTGAGAGGTGGGTACACCTGGACAGGTTGCCAGTCTGCTGTAGGGCTAATCATTCACACCTGACCCCGCTAACTGCACCTCTTTGGGCTGTGGGAGGAAGCCGGTGTACCTAGAGAGGACATGCAGTCCACACACACGGGATCCAAACCCAAGATGTTTTGGGTGCACGATGCTGACTGTTAAATAATCTCCATTACAGTCATGTGTCTATTTCAGAAGTTTGGCGGTGTGTGTGTAACAGCCGATTAACTGCTAATGTCAGATGTGCATTTGCATGCGACTGTTGGAAAGTTTCCTCTCGCTCACATTGTGTTCTCGTTGCGTGATTGTTTTCCGCCCGTGATGAATCTCGCACTCTCCTGCTGCTGCACTAATGCAAATTCATCACTGAGATCATTAAAGATGAATCTCATCATATCTTCTGTTTTCCTTCTTCATCTCGACCTTTTCAAATGTCACATTTAAAAACATTCATTTCCACGACTCAAAAACAAATCAATCAGCAGTAACTTTGTAACTTTCTTTCTCTGCCATTCTTTGTCTGTTTGTTACCATAAAGAACTCGCGGTTCTCTCTCATGCTCACTCTTCCTCATCTTCGATCCAACCATCTATAACTTAACCTTTTTCTCACTCCCTTCCTGTTTCTCCCCCTTTCTCACGTCCCATCTCCAGATCGGTCTCCAAGCAACAGAACAAAGGGGAATCACCAGGACTACGGTGTTTGGCTGGTGAAGCTATTTAAAGCAGGACTGATGTAAGAAAGGGAACATCAAGTATTACCGACAGACCATGAACAACAAAGAATGCGTCTCATGCTGCAGCACTGCACTCTAATAGGCTAGAGTTATTGAATAGTTACATATTTTTTAAAGCAGCCTTGGAAATGTGACGCAGGTTATAAGTTATCCACAGACTCCAGTATAACAAAGATAAATACTTCATTTTTAGTATTTCCAGCAACAAGTTTAACCTTCATGAAGTACGTTCATGTTTTGTTTCAGTGTTTCGTTTTTGGTTCGCTTCGTTTGCTTATTATAGCCTACACAATCTAATTGTCCTGAGTGCTGCAAATTACAGGTTAAAAATCTTGACAGGATTTTGTCTGCGGCATTGTCTTCATCTTTGTTAATTAGTTTGCTTTACACCTGTTGTCTGATCGACCAATCACATCACAGCAACTCAGTGCATTTAGGAAGTCTGACATGGTTGAGAAAATCTGCTGAAATGTAAAATTAGCATCAGAATAAAGAAAGGTGGTTTCGGTTCACGTGCGTGGTTGTTGATGCCAGACGGGCTGAGCTGAGTCATTCAGAAGGGATTTCCCCACACAGCCACCTCTAAGGTTTACACAGAAACACAACTCAGGGGTCAGAGGAGATTGTGGCTGAGTGTTTTGAGCTAACAGGAAGGCAACAGCATCACAAAGCTCAGATCACCTCATTTCTTAACCACAACAATGACTTGACCGTATTCTAATGGCCTCCACAACAGATCTTAGCCTAACAGATCACCTCTGGGATGTGCTGGAACACGAGATTCATGTCATGGATGCAGCTGACAAATCAGCAGCTGTGTGAGGCTGTCACGTCAACATGGACCCAAGTCTCTGAGGAACGTTTGAATCTGAGAAATGTAGAATTAACACAGCTCCGCAGGAAAAACTGGGTCCAGCCTGGTAAGTTGTATCTAATGAAGTGGTCAGTGGATGTATATTGGCATGTTCCTCTTTGTCGAGTCATCTGTTCATGTCCCCTCTTGTTATTCCCGTCCAAACATCAATTTTTTTCTGCCTATCCGGCGTCGTGTGGCGGGGGCAGCTGCCTAAGCAGAGAAGCCCTGACGTCCCTCCAGCTTATCTCAAGGAACACCGATGCATTCCCAGCGCAGCTAACAGATATATAATGCCTCCAGCATGTCCTGGGTCGGCCTCCTTCCTGTGGGACATGGCTCACCCAGGAGGCGTCCCTAATCAGACATCCAAAAGAGCAGCAGGTCTACACTGAGCCCCTCTAAAATGTCTGAACTCCTTGCCCTATTTCTAAGAGTGAACCTCGTCCATCCCAGCTGCCCGTCTACCAAGATGTTGGTACCTTGGTGGCCACTTGGTGCTGCTTGGTGTGACCTGCTTGGTGTGACCTCACACCAAGGTCACACCTTGTGACCTTGGTGTGACTATATCCTCAGTTGAGCAGCATCCTGCCTCTGCTGTACGCAGTGAGTCGAGCACCGCTGAGTTGCCTGACGGTTTGCCAGAATCGCCTCAAGGAGTCTGAAAGTCTTGTTCCATGTGGCCTCACCAAACTCCTCCCACACCCGAGTTTTTGCTTCATCTACCGACCGAGTGGCGCTCTGCTTGCCCTGCTGGTACCCAGCAGCTGGATCTGAAGTCCCACTAACCAAGCCCGATAGCACGCCTTCTTCAGCTTGATGAAGAAGCTCCCTTCACCTCCGGGGTCCACTATTTGGTTTGTCACCATTACAACAGGCAGCAACCGGCTCCAGCTCCTTGCAGCACCCTCAGCAATGAAGGTGAAACATCTGCTTTAGGGAGCAGTTGGAGATCTCCTGGACCAGAGTCTGTCCAGCATCCTCCCACGCCACCCGATCCAACGCACCACCGGTGATCAGGTGACAGCTCAGCTCCTCTCTTTGCCCGACTGTCCAGAATTAAAACTTGCAGGAAGATATTGTTCCTTTTACATATTTACATTTGAATATTGGTCAAAAATGTGAAATTAGTCGATGATGTCACAAAGCTCTCTGACATGTGGAGACACAAATGTCACGATGAAAGGAAAGCAGATGAAAGAAACTGAAAATATCTTTGACATTTCTGTTCAGATCAATCACAGCTTTACTCTTTCATATCTAAGAGGTTTTTCTTTTGCTGTTACACGTTCTAAGTGCTCATTTTGTTCAGTCACAGGGAACAAACTATCACTAAGGATTTAAAAGCTTAACTTAAAAAATACAAAACAAGCTATAAAATATGTTTTCTGAAAAAACAGAAGATTGATTATAATGTTTAACTTTGATGTGCTTAAATCTCACTTCTTTATGTGCAGTATTAATTATTCAACACATATTTACTCTGATTTGTAAATATTTACTGTACTTATAGTGATTTATGAGTTTTCTCATAGATGATGACGGTTTGAAATTGTGATTATTCAGGACCTTCACTCTGCTCTTATTTCTCATGCTGTCTGCAGGCTACGACTGTCATTCACTCCATTCATTTATGATATTTAAAGTAGCACTCAAATACAACACAATAGCTCCAATAACAGGAGAAATTATTCAAATTTATGCTTTTGTGAACAAGTTAACAGAGGCGGGACGGTAATTTTACAGTCGGTGGTTCAGATCATCAGATTAGCAGTTTTAAGGTATCCGGATGAAGCCACCAGCAGAGCGACGTCAGATTTCCTGCTGGTGTTCAAAGTTTCAAGCGTCGTGTGCATGGGACGAAGGTCACGTGAGCGAGAAACCTGTTTCTGGTAACAGGCGCCGCTCGAGGCCAGAGAAAAGATGAAAAGGGAAAAAGACGAGCAGCATGACGCAGAATCGAAACGCGTTTTGAGCATCAAAACTCTGATTCACTGCAGCCACAGAGACAACAAACGGCTCATAGTTATTACTCACGTTACAACTTCCTGATTCATCCTCGTATAGACAAAAGATTTTAGTCTAAAATGAACGGTTCAGTGAGATATCTGCTGATCTTCACCAGTCGCCACACGATTACTTTGCCAACTGTTGAGGCTTGTTGCTGTTTAAACCTCGGGGTCCAGCCTGCTCTCTGATTGGAAACTAAAGCTTCCCTCCAACTGTGAAGTGAATCCAGCCTGCAATCATCAAGGTGCAGCCAGCAGGTCTGTGTTAGACCCAGAAAAATGGAATAAAATGTGCTCTCTCAGGGAGAAAAGCAAATAAAACATTAATCTCCGATAATTCCACGTCAGAGCTGTTCACTCCTTTGTTTCTGGGGAATCAAAAAGCTTTCTCACAGTTTCACAGTAACACGACTTTATTAATTTATCAGTACGGTGACAAGCTGAGACCTGCAAATGCAAATAGTCAGTCACTGATATTCATGTGCACAAAATTCACTTCATGTTACTTTTATGTGCTAATACTTGAAATGATTTAATTATGTGAAAAATGAGAAAACTGCTCAGTTTGCAGCACAACCTGCTCATCAAATTCAATCTCCTGCTGCTGGTTATTTAACATCCTTCTCATCATCTGCGGATAACGAAAATTAAAAGAATTGCAAATAATATGCAGATTTTAGAGGATGCCTGATTAAAAGCTACAACCTACAAATGAGATGAGCAGCAGGATATTTTTGTCTTATTTTACACAACGTATCCAGGATGTGGGATCACTGTGTGCACTACAGCCGTCATGAATCCAGTGTGTGAGCAGGTGTGACTTGACTTACCATCTTATAAAGGTCTGACACGCTGATCTGGTCTTCATCAACCATCTCAAACTCCTTTCTCGGCACCAGGTCCAGACCGAGGTGTCTGAAACACAGAAGCAAAGACGGAGAGCAGCAGAG